TTCTTGTCCCCTGACATCATCATATTAGATCCCGAGCAATTCTGTCCCGAAACACTTTTTTTTCCCATGTTGAGATCATTGCAGTGGATATTACTTCATTCATATTTTATAGAGTGGCCCTCAGTGTATCGGCCTGGTCTTATAAAATGTCTATAATCCGCCATTAAATTAATAATGCGCCAGATACAGAAACACCTAACTTTGAGAGGGGAAAGTAGACAATATATAATCGGAAAAAATTAATACACAACTTTGATCATTAAAAAGAGTAAATAAGAGTACATTTGTAAATGAAATGTTTATAAGGGGAGAGCATGCTGTAAGATCAAGAAATGTAAATGACTATTGTCCTTAGGTCAAGTTAAGAATAATTCCAAAGTGACTTCCGGCAGATTAAAGTTTTAAAAATAAACAGTTATTAATAATACAAATTTATTTGGACAAATATTCCATCTTTTTTTTGTTTATTTTATTTTAGTTAACTTGTTCAATGCATCTTTGTCACCATCCTTCTTTTTCAACTCCTTGCCAGCTAAATTATAAAGAAAACTCTGCCATCATCAACAAGAAAGTGACTTCTACTCAGCCCACTGCTCCTCCCACTGCTCCTCCCACTGCTCCCCACACTGCTCCCCACACTGCTCCCCACACTGCTCCTCCCACTGTTCCTCCCACTGGTATTCCAGTGCCTGACAACTTCTGCACCTTCAAGCCACTGTCTTCTGCAGAAGCTGAGGAGGAACGTCTCATATTGGACTCCATTGCTTGGCCTGAAACTCCTCCTCTGCCAGTTCCTTTTTCATTGAATCAGACAAGTAATGCCGCCCATAGCACCTTCACCATTCTCCCAGGGGGGGTTGGAGATGAACGGCATGTAGGAGACCAGCTGGAAGTTATGATAAAAATGTATGACTTCCAAGGTAACCCCAAGAAGTCTGGAGGAGATGCAATTGTTACCCGATTGCACAACAGGGCACTTGAAGCAGGTGTGGCTGGACGAGTGGTGGATCACCTTAATGGCTCCTACTCTGCTGTATTCCCTTTACTCTGGGAAGGAAGTGCACAGGTTGAGGTACAGTTCAAGGCTATATCCTTAAATGTTAATGTACAATAAGTGATGACTAAATAATTACCTAATGCAATGTCCTGTAGGTCATTTAATTCATGAAATATAAACCATTCCCCCTGACTTACTTTTGCCAACAAACAACAACATAAAAAGTAAGAAAAAAGAAAAGACATTGTGGAAGTTTTAAAAACTGCTGTTCCTCCAATTGCCTCTTCTAGCGGTCTCTAATGAGTCATTCACCTTTGATCCCGTTGTCAAAATGCCCAACTTTACAAAACAAATAAACATTTTTTTTTAAATTTTTATTGAACCTTTATTTAACCAGATAAATAATCCATTGAGATCAGGATCTCTTTCACAAGGGTGACCTGGCCAAGAGGGCAGCAGCACACGTCATAAAAAGCATTACATGATAAAGAGACAGTTTACAAACAATAAGTTAAGAGAGAACAACAATTAGTTTTTTCCAATTGCTGAAACACTATTTTGCAAACTAGGCTGGTTTAATCAAAATACTTAACACAGTTCACAAAACCACACACCCAAACTGCAAAATACCTCATATATCCTGCAAAATGAAGCACTGCAACCAAAACTACATATAGCATTATCAAAATCAAACTTTTGCACCAAATGGCACACACTTCATTCATATTACCAGATTTTTGTCTAACCAACTACACACTGTTGGGCATAATGAAAAGCACTCTCATCTTTAGTATGCTTTGCCATAATACTAAAATAGTTCAAATTGTAGAAAATTCTTCAGATTGTTCACATGCACAGAAATATTTGCAGATACACACACATGCTGTTGAAACATTTATTTTTTTATTTTTCACAAAACAAGTCAGTGCAACATATACCAGTACAGTAAAACGGCTCAAGTTGGGCTGCACTCTCTGTCCAGCCTCTCGCATTGTCAGCCCATGGTTGATGACACGATCAACTAAGGTTGCTCTGATTTCATTTGGAAGTTGTTGTCTTCTTTGGCCATGAACTCCTCTACCAGCTCTACCCCTACCTCTCACTCTTCCTCGACCTCTCATTCTCACCCCCCCCTCTTCCTCTCTCTTCAACGTCTTCTATTGTTGTAAAAAAAAAAAAAAGTGCTCACCTGTGGTCTTTTCATAGTTCTTACTTCCTGATTGAAGTGATAACAGTTAACCACTGAGGTGTTTGGCCAGGTGGCACGTATATTGGCCAATTAGCTCATTTTGAATGGCAGTGTTTTGAAATGGCAAACTTGTGACTTTATGTCAGATTGTTGTGTCTTATGCAGAGAACCGTGGTCAGTGCATTTAAAAAGTGCCATTTTGAATTGCAAAATGTGTGTAAAGCAGAAAATGTGTTTAGACTTTGAGAAGAGGTTTTGCTCTCTGTGTGTCAGTTTAAATAATTGTGCTATGCATATCATTTTAATGTGTTAGCAATTGGAAAAAACTGTAACAATGTGCAAATTGATTTACAGATAAAGTGCAGAATCTTGTCAGAGAACAATTCAGAAACACAGGCACTGTCCAATTGTCTCATGTTTTGTTTATCTTTTAAGATCGAGCCAAAGGTTTCAAGAGCTCTGCCATTTTCAAGTCATTTTGGAGAAAGTTCCATGCAGTGGGAGCAGCAAAACTAAACGGTCTTTTCCCGAGCTCAGTGCGGACATGAGGCACAGACATTTTAAAGATATCACAGGAACACAAGGCATAGTGGCTTCTGGTTCTTTGAAGGTATGAACATAGATAAGAAGGCACCAAACCAAGAAGGGTATGAAGGTAGATATGTTGCAAAATAGGAGAGCTTGTAGAATGTGATGTGAGCTCTTCTGATTTGCAACATATCTACCTTCATAGAAGAGCTTTATAAATAAGCTTCAGCTAGTGTATATGCCTGCGCACCTTCAAAGATGGCCAATCTGAGTTAGTGTACAGGTCACAGTGATGAGTGAAGCGTCTACAAGCAGTCTTACAAAATGTTATTTTCTTCTGCTATTCTGGAAAACTTAACATTGAGGAAATGTATTTACCACAATGGTTAAACGTTATTAAGACAGTAGCTTTTACCTGAAAAATAAAATATAGACTTTAGACAAAAGTAATGCTACTCAATCATCACTTGAGTGGGCCTCCATACATCTGTAGTGGTGACTGTGTCTCCAGACAGCCTGTCCTTTGCCTGCATTTTAATGTTTTGGTTTTCTGGGATGTGCTTTCCCCTGCCAATGTCAGTGTGCAGGTGTGTTTAGGAGTGGAAACAATTCAGTTGTTGGTTGTGATTCAACCCCCGGGTAATATGATTGATGTGGAAGTAGCGGCAATAACTTAAAATATAATCATAGTGAGGTGAGACGAAACGCTACACGGATAAACCTTGTTCAAAAACGAGGGTTGGCTCTCACTCATGGTTGCAGAATTGGCCTGCATTCTCTTAGACATGCAGATGTCATACATCGGTGGTTAGCTTGTGCTAGCATGTGGTATTGTAATGTATGTGCAAACAGGAAACTTACACACTACTCACCTGCAGTGAGTGTGTGCTTCTGGGGACGGTGAGCCCAGGAGGAGGGGCCCAATTTGGATGTTGTGTTCACAAGCTGCAACAAACAATGCCACTGACTCTACCTTTACATAAGACATCAGTAGAACACTTTAATTAACCTTTTTGTTGAGTTGAATTACTGAACTAAAGAGGTTGTTGTTGTTGGATCCTTTTGGAGCTATTTTCATGCAAATGTTAGTCATTTGATGTGACTGTATGTAAAAATGTTTCCTGTGGGCCAGAGAATGGTGTAAGGATTGTTGAATGCTTGAATTGTTGAAATGTAAGAAAACAAATTCCATGGGGGTTCCAATAGCCTAGTGGGTATGATGTGCACCCAATTTACATTGGGTATAGTCCCGTTTGTGGTATGGGGTTCAAATTTGACTTTTGCCTTTTGCTTAATGTCATCCCCAACTCTCTCCCAACATTTCCTGTTGTTGTCAGCTGTCCTATCCAATTAAGACGAGACAGGTCCAAAAATATACATGATGAAGAAAACAAGTTCTACTGGCCAGCTAGTGGGGAGTTGACCATTTGCATCAATGTCTCTTAAGCTTCTAATTTAAAATACATGAACAACTTCAGTCAGCTGACACCAAAAATACAACTTTGTTTTCTCATTATTCAATTAATAATTAGTAGGCATGACTTGTATGCTATAACTTTAAACTCTTGTTCTTTGTTTTATCAGGTGACGCTTGTCCACTCAAGCGAGGCTATCACAGTCCTCCGTAGACTAAACAGAGAACAGCCTGATAGGACTATCTTAAAGAGCCTCTTCCGCTAAGGTTCAATCTCTGAAACTACCATCTGTAATATTTGTCTACGTCAAACCAACCAGCCACAGTGCAACTACACTGACCTCCATACTGGTGACCCGTGGTTCTGCTACAAGCCAAAGAAACTGAGCTGTGATACCAGGATGAACCACATCAACGGAGGAATGGGTATAAAACTCAAGGCTAATTAGGCGAACCTTTTCAAAAGGTGAGGGAGCACAGCAATAGAAATGATGCATCTAGTTTTACATGTAATGACTATAAACAAAGTGTAAAGTATGTATCTCCTGGGGGGAAATGTCATGTTTGTAACTACAGGAGGCAAAGATGAAATCTTAAGATGTTTACAGTGTAAGATGATACCTATCAAAACACTTAGTCTGAACACTTTAAGTCTCTCTCATCAACAAAACTATAAAGTGTATCTATGGAGTCTAAATATGGAGGCAAAGTAATTTATGGTGACTAAAGTGCTACCTTTTGTTCAATCACATTTGACATTTACATATTGAAGTGTGTTTAAGAGATTCTTAATCATGGGAGCTTCCCCCCCAGCAATGTCAACATGCAAGTCTTCATTCAGGCTTCAGGACCGGTCAGTGTTTCTTTGCTGCCTCAAAGGAAAGGTAAAGCACAACTTTTCTACTTTCAACTTTGAAAAAAAATCTCCATGTGACCGAAATGTAAATGGTTTGGTAAAAATGCATACAACCTAACTCTCTGTATTCAAGCAGATATACATATAAGGCAAAAATATATAAAAATAAACCAGCTTCTATCTACAAAACTGAGGAAGAGCTGCAAGTGCTTATCTCATTAACTCAGTGCCAGTGTACTAATAAAAAACTCAAATCACTTAACATCTGTAAATAATTAACTTTAAATAATTAACATTGTCAAATAAAAGGCATTTGGTAGCATTTTCCTTAACCACAATAAACATGTGCATTCGAGACATACACTCACTATATTGTAGTAAAGCATAAACGTAATCTTTTGAAAAACATCAAAGAACTCTGTAGAAGCCATTTTAATCATGGTCCATTTAATTTAAGAATTTTGATTTCAGTTCATGTTAGTAAAACACAACATTTAGATCATAAGAAATAAGAATATAATTTACAGTAAATATTTCAGAATTAAGAAACAGATTGGCTCCTACTTAGTGATAAAACTGTTTATGAAAATTGCCACTACAAATGCTTTTGTGACATATGTATAATGTCCTCATTAGTGTAAAGTAAAATGAGTAAGGTAAAGCAGAGACCTTGTTTTGGCCTTTTTGTGGCCAAATAATACCATATATCATAATAATAATAATAATAATATCATTTAATAACTAAATGCTTATTTTGATCAACAATTCTCAGAGCAACCCATGGATAGTCTGGGCAGTGGGAAGTCTGGACTCTCTGGGTATTACTACCAGGGTGTGTGGCGATCACTAGGTGGCACCAAAGTCTACCAATTCAACAACTCCTCTGCCATCAGTCAGTGTCTGAAAGGAAAGGTGGTCCACATGTACGGAGACTCCACCGTCAGGCAGTGGTTTGAGTACCTTGATGCTTCACTTCCAGGTAGTTGATTCACAGTGATTTTAGGCAACAGTTTAATTGTATTTATTTCACAGCTTAATCTGCTCCTTTTTTCATACTTTCAGATGCTAAAGAGATAAACCGGAATAATCCGAAGAGATTAGGACCCTTCATGATATGGGACAATGCAAAAAACATCTTGGTGAAGTTCCGCTTCCACGGTCCTCCTCTTAGTATTTCCGTCCTTATCCCAACCAGTGAGCTGCGTTACATTGCCAATGAAATAGATGATGTAGTTGGTGGCACCAACACAGTTGTAATTTTTGGCATCTGGGCCCACCTCACTCCTTTCCCGATGCAATTCTACATCAGAAGGCTTTACGGCATCCGCAGGGCGGTGATTCGTCTGTTAAACAGGGCTCCAGACACGCTGGTGGTCATCAGGACTCCAAACCTCAGAGGTACAAACCCCTATATATTTACCTTTAATGACTGGTATGCTATTCAACAGGACAAGGTGGTCAGAGCTGTGTTCAAAGGACTTAATGTTCAGCTGGTGGATGCCTGGGAGATGGTTCTGGCCCACATGTGCCCCCAATAGTGCATTTAATAATAATAATAATTTTATTTATATAGCACGTATCTAAACAAGGTTACAAAGTGCTTTACAGAATGCATTCAATCAAACAAAATAAAACATACATGAAAAGTGCTTCACAAAAGAATCAGGATAAAACATTGGTGAGTTATAAAAATGTATTAAATTAATTAAAGCAGGACATTAATTACTAATCAATCGTTAAAAAGGTGGACCGTGTTGTGTTTTAAAAGTTTTTAAAATAATTTTTAAATCAACCCTGTAAGTAACGGGCAGCAAATGGAGGGAGGAAAGGATTGGGGCAATGTTTGACCTGCAGTTTGCATTTGTTAAAATCCGAACAGCAGCATTCTGCACTTGTTGGAGTCTGGCCATTGAGGACTGACTCAGGCAAGTGAAAAGTGAGTTGCAGTAGCCCAAACTTGAAAAGACGGGGCGATTCCGAAAGAGGTTTAAAATTATCAATGAAAGCAGGACTATTATGGACTGCCCAGGTAGACTGCAGCCATGTGTGGAGACTGAGGATGCGGCAAAAACGACTGGCACCTCGGCCTAGTGGAGGAATGGGGCTGGAGACAAAAACACACCTGCCACATGAATCCAGCGAGCAAAGGCGTCTGTTAAAGTCATATTTTAATATTTCTGAAGATCGCTTTGAAACACCATTGCAGCCGATCTGTAAGATGATGTTAGTAACGCGTGGGTGTTTTGCCAAGAGACTGGGGATCCTATCCAATATGTCCAACACCATTGCGCCTTGAAAACAGTATGTCACCGCTGATCTTCTCCTGACATGCCCCACTATGGAATCACCAATAACCAAGGTGTTCGGCTCCATCGCTAGTGATGCAGGATGCGCTCGCTGCAAGGATGCAGGTGAGGGAGGATGATTTGCTGCAGATCGCCGCGAAGCCAGAGTGTAGTTCGGCTTCGAACGGTGCATAGTGGGACGGGAAAAGACCCCCCGCAGGGTTCGGTGGAGAAGCCCAGGTAGGTGGAAATCCAGCAGGGTTGCATAGTACCATGTAGACTGAACATTTCATATTGACTTTCCAACTGGATTTCCGTGTTTGAGGGGGTGTGATAAAAGATGCATATTGAATAGAGAAGTCAGGACAAGAAATGACACTGTTGATGGAATGTGTGAGCTTTGTGGGCCTCTATTTTACATAGTATTTCCTGGTGGCTATGACTGACTCTGAATACTGGAAATGGGGGATTGTCAAATGGACTGATCATGAATCCTTCTTTGACCTCTTTTTCCAATAGGGAGTCGACAATTTCAGATTGATGATATCATCGCTGACATCACTGGGGCAGACCAACTGAAGGGGTTTTAATTCTGAGAAATGTTTTCTTTCTAATCGTTTCTTTTATATTTAAGTTACTGGTGCAATATCACTTAATTATTGAAAGTTAATTTGGTTTAGTAAATGATCTGAGGTTAATTTAAGGGTTTATTTTGATTTCTTTGCTTCAAGAGAAAAGTGTAAACCCACTATTTGAGTTGTGCTGCACCCAGCATCAGTGGCTACAAGCCTGCAACCAATCATCATTATGACGTGAGCTCTGAATCAACAAATAAACATCAAGTTCCAAAACAACAAAAGCCTAAACATGCAATTCTGAAAAACAAATGTAATGGGAAATGTATTGCCTCCTGGAAATGTACTAGACTGTTAGTGATGCACACGAAGATTATAATTACAGATCCTCCCTGGATCCGCACCAAGAACTGTCCTCATCAGGTTTCTTTCTTATCTTAGCATAGCCACAGTGGGTGCGTCATAACTTTGTAACTGAATGTCTATATAGTGTGGAGTTGGACTGCCCTTCTCTGGGCTTTCCTGCAGACTTATCTTTCAAACTGTACATTTGCTCTTCCTATTTGCAAAAGGAATAATAAAATGCCAACAAATACAACTGAATGACTCAAAGATCTTTTATTAAACAATCTCTCATTACAGAAATTTCCAGCACACATATCAATTCATGATCTCCAGTTCAGGGGACACTTAAGGGCCCAAAAAATAAATGATGATCCAAATGCAAAATCAGAAATATTCCAGGAGATGTAAAGTCATTTAATTGAGATAAAAGGAAGGTTAGATATAAGTCTATAGTTAGCTCATGTTATTGAATCAAGAGCAGGCTTTTTAAGAAGAGGTTTAATTACAGCTGTTTCAAATGACTGTGGTACAGTCATCTCCCCAGTATAACTTTAACCCCTCATACAAGAACACGTATACCTTCACCTGAACAATGAACGAGCACCGCTCTAAACAGTCTCACCTTTCACTACAGTCAAACGAACCATGTTGAGAGACCACATTCCTGTGGTTCAGGATGTTCTTAACATGTCATTCTCAACCTTTCACTATCTGCTTTCATCATGTTGTGTAAGGAGGTGTCTGTTTATAGCTGAGGGATTATAGAGCATCATGTATGTAGTAAGTAGTAATGATCAGTCTTAAATAAAGGTTTTGTGTTTAGTGCTGATGTGATTAATATATTGTAACTCAATTCAACAATGACATCTTTGATGTGATTTAATAGTGCTGTGGCTGGAGTTTTCAGATTGAGTGATATAAAGCACATTTTGAAAGTATGCAAGTTATGAAATAATAACCAGTGTTTCCCATACATAGCGGGCCGCCCAAGTATATTTATGGCCGTAAGTAACTACATTTCCAACCTGTTTTTATTTAAATTTTCGTTTATTCATAAAATTGCTGCACGCACAAGAGAGAGAGAGAGCCAGACAAAACGGGGGAGAGAGAGAGACAAAACGGGGAGAGAGAGCGCAAAAGAGAGTGCATCCGTGCAACATAACAAAACTCCTGTTTGAAAAAGAAATCCCTCTCAACTCCAGAGGAGAGACAAGACACAACAATATCAAGAGAGCAGTATCACATCATCTTCAGAGAAAGAGAGCGAGAGCGAGAGAGATGAGTATGGAGTTAGTCTCAATATTCATGATTGCACACATAAGGATTCACAAATGTATTTCAATGCACACACAACATATGTATAGTTCTATATGTAAAATACAAATACAAAAAATAATATTCACAAACATATTTCACACACAAATATTTATTATTATATTTATATATCTATATGTAATAGAAATCCACAATTATATGATATACATATATATATTTATAATTAAAAGTATTTGCAATTTTACTCAAAAACACATTTGTATCATGATTTGTTCTGTTTAGTTTAGTTTTTCACAGTTCAGATGGTTTTTATCTTTTAGGTCTCATTCTTCCCTGGTGTTTCCCTCTATGTTCTAGTGTTTCTTAATTTTTCATTCTACAGTGTCTTCAGTGTTTCATGTATTTATTTTGTAGTTGTCCTCAGTGTTTCTTGTCTTGTGTTCATTCATTCCTCTGTGTGTTTCCCTCCAGTGTGATTGCCCTCATTGTCTTCACCTGTGTCATTAGTCATTAACATATCTCCTTGTTTTCCAACCATTCATGACAATTTGTATCTTGTTGTCAGAGCATCTAGGAGGGATGTTACAGCAACTACAACAACTACCAATCTAGTTGAAGCCTCTTTCCTCTTGGATGGAGTTTGTTCTTTTTTCACATTCAGTGAGTCCAGTTTGGAAAATTCAGTTGAAACTCAACGTAGCAACCTGGGCGAGAACAACTTTTGTTTTTAGAAAACAAAAGATCCTGTAAAACTGGTTTCATTCAGGATACTGCCTGCAGGGTTTGAGAATGTATAGCTTGTGTATGTTCCTATCAGTAACTGTATCTTCTCTTTAAACAAAAGGCAGTCACCAAAGACAATCATATAGAGGGTAGAATGAAGGGAGGAAACATTTTTGGCAGTGAAACCCTCCCTCTGAAAACCCAATGACTCTTTGTGTTGTCTTGAGGCTTCTTGTTATGACAGGTTGTAAGTTATCTGTAAGTGAAGGATTCTATCATTGTACTAAAACTCAGAGAAATAAACTTATTTTTATTATTTGATCACCATCACATTAAGAAGATTTCACCAGTGTTCTCTCCATATTAATCTCTACTGAGGTAAGACATAATGTTCTTTATTTTGTTTAAGGGTATATATATATTTTTTTTTATTTTATTTTATTTTGTGTAAACAACATGTTTCCATTTGTGTATTTTGTAGTTTTTCTAAACCCCTTTTATGCTGCTGAATAATTCTTTGCTTAAACCTTTTGGAGGATGTACACAATTGTGTCCCAATTACTCCGTAACAGTATACTTTATCAATCTATTAAATGATTACATCAGTTTAAATAAAATCATATGACAAATAGTCCTCCATTTACAGTTTTTTACATGAAAGAAGTTCGAAGGTAAGAATGAGCTATTTGACCAGTTTAAATTACTGTAGACATGGTATCACATGTTGAAGCTGGGAGACACAGAGTTGATGAGGTTGATTGAATGTTTAATATCTAAAATTGTACACCATGGTTATTAGAGTCACTGATTTTTGAATCTACAAAGTAACAAGTGAAACTGAAGAAAGAACATTGAGGAATAAATGGAACAGAATTAGAATCTGAAATGTAAATGTGTTAAAATATAAAGTAACAAAATAGTACCAATTAAAAAGTTAATTTAAAAATAATCTTTAGTTAGGCTAAATGTATGTTTCCTTCATGCAGGCATTACTGTGTGCCTGAAGGGAAACTAACCCTACCTTACATCCAACCTATTTTCCACAAATTACTTCACTACTTCATGAGCTCATATTTCCTGATCATGTAACATTAGCACACCTGACTGTGACAATTTGACTCTTAGTGTGAACTAGGGCTGTCAGCAGAAGTTAATTTTTTTCGATTAATTGAAGTCCCAAATTAATGCAATCTTTTAATTTTAATCTCATGATATTTTGTCCCTTTGGTCACACTGTGGATAAGCCTCCGTAGTGTCTCTCTGTAGGCACAGTGATGAAAAGAACAACACAGCTGCGTCTTTGAATGTCTCATTTCAATTGTAGACAGCTCAGTT